CCCAACCCCAACCCCAACCCCAACCCCACCCCCAAACCCAAACCCAAACCCAACCCCAAACCCACATCTAGCTAATCACTCAGTTTAAAAATAATCTTGATATGTCTATTAATTGGGTTTAAATCTTTTGTTATTTTGAGAAAAATTATAAAAATTAATCAATTATATAAATAGCAAAATTAAAAATATAATACACAATAATATAAAAAACATTGATGACCTTATAATCTTCTAATAAAACCCATATAGTTAAAAATCTTCTGTAGAATGATATTATTTCACAAAGTTCAATTGAATTTGATTTTGGGAAAAAGGGTAAATATCATGATTCAATTGTAACATTAAAACTAAAAATTATAAATGTTATTATTATTAACATTTATTAATTTAGCCTATTTTTCATCTTATGAGTATGACTGAAATTTAAGATAAGTTGAATCACAACATTATATATTAGCAATAAGTAAGATGACATAAAATTCATTTTTACAAGTTGGAAATCTCAAAAATAGACTATAAAACAATTTTTCTTAAACAAAATAGACAATTCTCTTTATTTGTTAATTGTAATATAATTCTGGCAGCAAAAGATTTTTTTAAATTTAATTTAGATTTGCATTTACAATGCTTTCGAAACAATTATAACAATCATCATCATTTCATCAATAGCTTCACTCTAAACATTTCATTATCACAATTAATCTAATACAAAATTTTATATCTTATAAAATTAAATGGACTCTTTTATTCTTTGTTCATCAATATGATTAAAAATAGTAAAGATCATATGCTGTTAAATTACTGAATAGGGCTGACAATGACTCTTCTATAAGAGACCAAAGAATTTGAAAGGCCTAGGATTCGGTAATAGGAGGAAATAATTAGAACATGAGAATTCTCAGAATTGGAGTGAATGTGTAAATAATCAAAGTTAAATACAATAAAATCTTTTATTAATCCTAAATCATATGAACATATCATTATAATTAGAGAAATATAATTCAAATATTATCCTATCTTAACGGAGAAATATATTTTATTATTGTTCTTTAGTTATTATCATATGGATGAAACTATAAAAAATTCCTCAAATCATGATAGAGTAAATAATTATTTTCATAAAAAACTATATTCATAAAAACATATTATTTTCATTTAAAGTTTTTCTATAAATGAATTAAATATATTTTAGAATTATTAATAATAATGAAATCAGAAATAATGTACGATCTATTTAAATAAAATAGTGGCGGATAACTTGATAAGAATGGATTAAAAGACGGTTGGTGGGTTGAGTTGAATGATAGTATAACTAAGTATTTATTTTAATAAATAATAAAGACATAGTCTAATTTCCCATTACTGTGGCTAATATAAGGAAGGGAAAAAAATAGGAAGATGGGATACAAAAATCAAATTTAATATCTTTGATGAATTTGAGGTGATGTAAGGAATTTTTGTAATTAAAGTGGTGGAGGAAAATATGATATGAATGAAATGAAAACTGGTTAATGGGTGGAATTAATTAATAATTTTTCTAAGTATGTTCATCCTAAATAGTAACTATTAAGTGTCATATTCTGGTTTTTATAAAAAAGGATAAAAAAATGGTTACTGGAACACTTTATTAAAATAAGAAAATGATTTTGAGATTATGTAATTAATATCGAGTATTTATGAAGTGGAGGCGGATTTTATGAAGATGGAGTGAAAGATGGATAATGGATGGAATTGAATTCAAACGATGATTATAGATTTACTCAAATTGGAGAATATTAAAGAGGTTTAAAAATTAATAGATGGAATATTATATTTACGAAGTAATATACTGACAATTATAAAAAAATGTATATAAAAAGTAATTATTAGTGGCGGAGGTTTATATAATTTAGATGGATTAAAATATGGTAAATGGATAGAAATTTAGAATGAATAAGAAAAGTAGTTTTAAATATAATTAGTTTTATTGCTTATATTGGAGAATATAAAAATGGAAAAAAATAGGGCAAATGGGACATTCTTTAGGGTTTAACTGAAATTAATAATTATAATATGATGTATTGTTTATCATAATTAGTTTAGTGGTGGAGGTTGTTATGATGAAAATGGATTTAAAAAAGGCTCATGGAAAGAAATAGAATAATTTTCATACGAGTTTGAAAGTTTAATTTATAATAGATTTGATGTTATTTCTATCGGTAAATATTCGAATGGAAAGAAAATTGAAAAATGGGTAACTATGTATCGAGATGGAAAAGATGTTGAATATGAGAATTTGTAAATAATGTTATTATAACAAAGGGGATGTGAATGCTTTGATTTAAATGGAATTAAACAGGGTTAATGGGTTGAAATAAGTGATAATTTTATAAAGTATATAATTTAAATAATTAATAGTCAATTAATAACTTACCATGGATATTATAAAGATGGAGTAAAAGTTGATATGTGGTAGATTTATTTTAGAGAGGAGGGAAAAGATGATTTTATAAACATGTAAATAAATTATTTTAGTCCTTAGTGGCGGTGGATTTTTTGATAATAATGGAATTAAACAAGGCAAATGGGTGGAGTTACATGAAAACTTTAATGAGTACTTTAGTTATTCATCCTTAGTGATATGAAAGTTGCCTATCATGGTGATTATCTATATGGTAAAAAGATTGGAAAATGGGACACTTTAAAGCTTAAAGTTGATTAATCAATTAATTATTCTCATAAGTAATTATTATTTGAGATATTGTAGTTACAGTGGATCATCAAGCTAAAATTATATGACACCTGATGATTATTTGACCCCTGATGATTCGATGGATTCGGCAAGTTTTTAAGGAATGTATTGTATAATATTATAATTCCAAGCAATTCTATGAGAAAAAAGCCTGAATAAAATTATTAATAATATACTTAAACAGGATAGAAAGCAGAAGAAGAACATGATCTTCATTAAGAAGAAGAATATGATTTTCATTAACAAGAAAAACTTGACATTCATTAAGAAGAAGAACATGATGTTCAACAAAAAGAAGAACTTGACGCTCATTAAGAAGAAAAACTTGTTCATTATAAACAAGAAATTGGTGTTCATTATGAAGATGGATAAATAATATATAATTCAAAATAGTTTTAGATAATGTAAATAAATCTTAATATTTAGTGGAGGTGGATAATTTGATAAAGATGGAATAAAACATGGATTTTGGATCGAAAATTATTTGTCCAAATCTTCATAGTATTTTTGATTAAAAACTTAGTTTTGACTAGATAGAGAGCAAGGGGAACTATAATCAAGGAAAAAAAGTAGGAAAGTGGATTATAGGTTGTTTTCGAAATTTAGAAATAAAGATGTATTTAAAAATTTTTAAATTAGTGGAGGTGGAAATTATGATGAAAATGGAATTAAACAAGGTTAATGGTTAGATTTGCATAATTAATTAAATAAGTTTATTTATTTTAAGATTTTGATAGCTATTCTAGTGATTATAAAGATTACTTTATTGACTTTGGAGAATATCGAGATGGTTTAAAAATAGGTAGATGGGATATTTTGGAATACTCCAAGAGAATATCGCATTATTAAATTATGTAATATTGTATTATCAATAATTTAGTGGAGGAGGATCTTTTGACTAAAATAGTATAAAATATGGTGAATGGGTTGAAATATATAAGAATGGTGGCTTGTAAACTTTGAATTTCATGTAGCAGTTCTGATATGATTACAATAAAAAAAGGTGAATATAAAAATGGGAAAAAATTTGGTAAATGGGAAATTAAATCCAGCTCGAATTAATATTAGAAATTTAGACCAATGTAAAAATTATTCTTAATGCAAAAGTTTGGGTGGATTATATGATATCAATGGTCAAAAACAAGGTTTGTGGTTAGAAGAACAATGTGGATCATTTTATGAATTATCGTATTCTGGAATTTATATTATAGCTCAAAAAATTTAATATTGTTTGGAGAATATAAAAATGGATTAAAAATTGGTCAATGGGATTATATGCAAATTGATGAAGATGGCTCTAATTACATAATCATGTATATTTAAAATATTATTGAATTAGGGATGGAGGATTATTTGATTAAAATGGTTTGAAGCATGGTTTGTGGCATTTGAATTCAAAAAACTATTTTAATAGGTAATGCTAATTTTATTTTATCTAGTAACATGTACAATGTTAAATATAAAAACGGGTTTAGAATCGATGCATGGAAAAACAATTTATAATTAATAACCTTGTTGTGAAATTCAGTTGAATATTCATATTAAAAACGTATACCCTTAAAAAATTTGAAATTAAAAAGAGCAGCAATTTTTCATTTATTTATGTTTTTAAGATATTTTTCTTATTGAAGAATTTGTCTCATAATAATCTATTGTTAATATTAACAATAATATTCTCGAAACAAATATTCATACTTTACCAATTCAAATTAAAATCTTACTAATACAATAAAATTTAAAATTTGGAAAAAAATATTCCAATGAAATTAAATGCAAATTATAAAATTAAGATCCTTGTATACAATTGATTATCATATTAAATAAAATATTTAATAAAGTCTTGAATTCATTTTAATCATTATTTCTACTTAACATTATCTGATCAGGTCTAGCTATCTTTAATTTTGTAAAAAACCTAGAATGAAAATTTTTTGCAATATTATACTTAATTATAAAAATTTTAATATATTATTTTTAATTTTTTTTGTTGTTTATTCTAGATTAAAAGATTTGGAAAAAAAAGTTAAGAATATTAAAAATAATAAGTTAATTATTTGAAGAGAAATTTACTATGACTTATCTATAAATATTATATTAAGCTGTTTAGAAGTATAATATAAAATTATTATATTTCATAAAT